TTATTTATCTATGTGTATTTTTGCCTATATGTATGTATATGTACCACATGTATACCGAGAGCATGTCAAGTCAGAAAAGGGAGCTGTATCCCCTGAAACTGGGATTACAGATGATAGTGAGCTCCCATAGGTGCTTGTTGGGAAATGTAAGTACTTGTTCCTTACAGCTCTCTTCCTCCCCACCCCACTGTAGAACTTCCGTACTCTCAAGGTTAAGCAAACAAGGTTGTTTTCAGAACTTCCCAGTATGCAGTGCCTGTGCCTTGACCCTGGGTATGGGTGGCACATGACTTCCTCCTATGATTAGCCCATTCCCTGACTTGGATATATAAGCCGATTACTCTCTGTAATAAAGAGCTTCTTCACTTCTCATGGTGGTCTGTTGAGTGCTTCAATCCTGACATCTTCTGCCAGCTGGGTACTCTGGTCACATGGGTGTGGCAGGTGCTGGCAAATGAACCCAGATTTGTTTTCAAGACCAGTTTCTCTGTGTACCCATGTCTGTCCTGGAACTTGCTCTTTAGAGACAAGACTGGCTTCATAAAAACATGCCTGCCTCTACCTTCCAGTACTGGGATTAAAGGTGTGTGCTACCATCACCTGGCGGCGTGAACCCAGGTTCTTCAAAAGAGCAGCAAGTTCTTATTGTTAAGTCCAAAGCAGGCCCCCAAATGGCAGTACTGATGACACACACAGAACTGACAAGCTAAACAGAAGGGTTGTTACTGGGTAAGCATAAATCTAAATTCAAAATAAATCATGCCAAATAGAGAATAACTTAAAGCATTCCCACTAAAATCAGGGTCAGGGGAAAGACAAGTGTCCATTTCTCCACTCCTACTAAACAGAATGTTTGACATTTTAATAGAGCACCAAGAGGAGGAAATGAAAGGGGTACAAAGAGGAAAAGAAATAAATATCCCTATGGTTCTTACCTAACCCTACACTCCAAAACAAAACTCTGAGCTCATAAACATGTTGAGCAAGGGGGCAAAGTACAAATTCAATGCACGAAAATCAGCAGCCTTCTGAAAAAAAAAATCCATTTATAACATGAACAACAAACCTAACAAAAGAAAACAAAATTCTTCTATAATGAAATCGTCAAGACACACACAAACAAAAAAAAAGAAAGAAAGGAAGAAAGAAAAAAGAAAGAAAGAAAGAAAGAACGAAAGGAAGAAAGAAAGAAAGATAGAAGACAGTAGATTTGGAAAGACCTCCCATGATCATGTATTACAAGAAATAGTACTGTCGCTCTTTTGCTTTCTCTCTCCTGCTGTTGGCCACCAGATGCCACCCTTCCCCTCTCTCCTGTTCCAGGTACCTCTATATCTCTTCCCTTCTCCCTCACTCCCCTTCCTAAATAAACTCCTAATTTAAGCTCTAAAAAAAGAAATAGTACTGTCAAAATGGCCACCCTACCATAAGCAACTATGAACTCAATGCAATACCAGTCAAACTACACCTTATACTTTGTGTGGTGGGATATATGGACTCACATTGCATTGAGATCATGGTATTCCTTCCTATTGCTTTACTATTTGGGGACCTACATGCTTAACCCATATAGACCATCACCTATATTTATGCTGACCTAATTCAGATACCCTTTTAAAGGAAAGAGGTGACTGTCCACATTTAATCTGTAAGATGCCGAATCTCATGGGGCATGGGCTCGTTTTACCATGAAGCTAAGTTTAACATAAGCAAAAATAACCATGTAGGTATGTCACGATCTTGGCTACTAGCCTGTTGTGTGGGGGTTGGGGGGAGGTGTTGTTGTATGACCAAGCTTTATCTAAATATTACATGGTAGTTAAAAGCACCATTTGAGTATGGGAGCACACACCTTCAATCCAAGCACCTAGGACACAAAGGCAGGTGGATCTCTATAAATTGGATGCCATCCTAGCTTACAAAACAAGTTCTAGAACACCAATGACAACTCATGCTGGAGAGGTTGTGGAGAAAGGGGAACACTCCTCCACTGCTGGTGGGAGTGCAAACTCATACAGCCATTTTGGAGATCAGTATGGCGATTCCTCAGGAAAATGGGAATTAGTTTACCACAGGACCCGGCAATCCCCCTCTTAGGCATATACCCAAATGATCCACATCCATGCAACAAAGACATCTGCTCAACTATGTTCATAACAGCACTATTTGTAATAGCAAGAACCTCAAGATGCCCCTCAACTGAAGAATGGATAAAGAAGATGTGGCACATCTACACAATGGAATACTACTCAGCAGAAAAAAATAATGGAATCTTGAAATCAGCAGGCAAGTGGATGGCACTTGAAGAAACCATCCTGAACGAGGTAACCCAGTCACAAAAAGAGGAACATGGTATGTACTCACTCATATATGGATTTTATACCTGGAGCAAAGGATCACCAGCCTATAATTCACACCACCAGAGGAACTAGGATACAAGGTGTATTCATATAAAGTCCCTCACAGAAGGGGGAAGGGACAAGTCCCCCAGAGCACAGGGAAAGTTGGGGGGGGCAGTAAATGGAGAGAGAAGTAGGAGAAAACGAGGAGGAGGAGAGGAAAGCATGTGCGACTAGGGAGATTGAGTCAGGGGAGGATTAGAAGACAGAAGAGAGAAAGAAAGAACATAAAAGAGGGAGCCATTATTGGTTTGAAGAGAAAACTGAACCTAAAGAAAGGTCTAGAGACCTACAAGACTGACTCCAACTAACAATTTGAGCAACCATGGAAAGGCTACCATAAATGCCCTTCCCGGATAGTGAGATCAACAACTAACTCATCCATGGAGCCCTCAACTAATACCTGTTGGAAACAGAAGCAAACACCCATACCTAAACACTGAGTCAAACTAGAATCCAGATGCAGACAGAGAAGACAAGACCAGGTTGCAGAAACACATAGAGACAGCTGTCCTGAACAAGGAGGAGCTAATGGGCATCCAGACTGATAGCTGGGAATCCAGCATGGGACGGACTCAGGCAAATCTGAATATGGGTCTCAGCCAGAAGGACTGAACAGTCTAAGGGACCTCCGACAGTGGAACCAGGATGTATCCCTGGTGCACAAAAGGACCTTGTGGACACATCCCCCATGGAGGGATACTACCTTAACCTAGAGACAGGAGAGAAGTCCTAGTCCCTACTTCAAATGACCTGACAGACCTACATGACCCCACCCGGATGGCATTGCCCTACATGTGGAATTGGGGTTGGGGGATGGGAGGGGAGGGTGGTCAGGGTGCATATGAGGGGGTAGGGAGGGTAAAAGGGAGGGAGGGAGGGAGCGGGGATTGGGACCGACATGTATAATAATAAATTAAATTAAAAAAAAAAAAAAAAAAAAAAAAAAAAAACAAGTTCCAGGACAGCCAGAGCTACACAGTAGAGATCCTGTCTTTAAAAATATAAGGAATACTTAAGGTGTTTACTCAATTATTATATACATCGGGAATTTTCTTCAAGGTAAGTCCTTTCATGTCAAAAAAAAAAAAAAAAAAAAAAACACAAACAAAAACCTGCAAAGGCTTTTATATTCATTCTTTGATGGTCACTGAATCTATATTCATCAAAATTTCACCCATGAGTTTTCCCGTACATTTTAAGATAATTAGAAAGTTTGAATTTTTCATAATGTTCATATTTCCCTCCAGCAGGAGTTTTTTGTTTTCAAAAAGAACTGCCCCTCTGCCACTTCACCAGATATTTCAAGACCCTTCAGACATAGGAAATAGATGTAGATAAATGTGTCACCTTCATCCAACTCTCACATTTATTCTAGTACAGTCTGGACTATGAGTAACAATACCATACTCTAAGCATACATATTTATTAAATATAGATATAATTTATATTTATGTATTTATTAAGTATATAACAAGAACATTAAAGCAATAAGGGCTGATAAAATGGCACAAAGTCTGTCCCCAATACTGGTGGCCCAAGTTTGGCCCCCAGAACCTACATGACCTCTGTACACTAACATACACACAAACATACCTACACAAAATTAAAATTTAACAAAAAAAGTAAAAGAAGCCAGGCACAGGCAGATGGATGTTTGTGAGTTTCAGCCTGAACTGATGTACATAGTGAGTTCTATGCCAGCCAGGGCCACATAAAGAGGTGAAATGATGTCTCAAATAAACCAACAAGAATAAACAGCAAGTAGCAGGTAGAATTTGTAGGTGGACTGCAAAGCATTCTGAGACAATGACAACATCCAGAAGACTGGAGCAGTACAGTCAAGAAGCAAATTGGGGGACGAGGGTGGACAGGGGATGGAGAAATGTTTCAGAGCTTAAGGCAAATCACTGCTTTGGGTTAGATTCCCAGCACACACAAGGCAACTCACAACCATCCATAATTCCACTTCCAGCAAATCCACTACCCTCTTCTGGCCTCCCTGGGCACCAAGCACACATGTGATGCATAGTCCTCTACAATAAGCAAAACACTCAAATGTATAAAATAAAAATGATTAGAAAAAAAAAAAAGCAAACAAGTGAGGCTTAGAAAATCCAGCAGAAACACACTAGGGAAGCATTGTTGAGGCCATCAGCATCTGGCTTTTTATTTCCACTGCAATCTTGAAATGGTACTATTTGTTTTGGAAACAGGGTTTCTCTGTGTAGACCAGGCTAGCCTCAAACTCAGAGATATACCTGCCTCTGCCTCCTGAGTGCTGGGATTAAAGGTGTGTGCCACCACCACCCAGCACAACCATGCTTTTTAATATCAGTAACTACTGCTGAACAACCTTCTCCCTGTCACAGGCCAGCACATTCTAGGACTGGAAGTAATAGAGAAAACTTGAGATAAACATGTTTGAATATGGAAAATGGGAGAGTATGTCCCTCCCAAAATCTGCAAACCTAAGCAACATGACAGCTTGTCAACAGAATGCATATTACAACAGTGTGAACTTTTTCTGAGGTCTGTCTGTTCACCTCAGACAAGGGTAGCAAACACAGACACAAGGAAAAGATTTGACACAAGTGCAGCTTGATGAACCAATTATTTTAATTAGGGTTACTTACATAAACATGGGTCTTTAAAGGGTTAGTGGCAGGAACATGGGAAACTTCTGAGTAGGCATTCCACTGAAGAAAGAGTTTTTCCCTTTACCAACAACAATTATCTGCTTTCATATCCAAAGGAGGTGGGAGGTCTTGTGAGACTGTCCTGTCTAAGTACCATTAACTGCCTAAAAATATGCAGGGATGGGCTGGTCCGTGGTGGTGCTTGCTTTTAATCCCAGCACTTGGGAGGCAGAAGCAGGAAGATCTGTGTGAGTTCAATGCCAGCCTGGTCTATAGAGTGAGTTCCAGGACAGCTAGGGCTACACAGAGAAACCTGTCTCGAAAAACAACAAAAAATATTCAGAGGTATGCTGGGCATAGTGGCACCTTTAATCTCAGCACTTGGGAGGCAGATCTCTGTGAGTTCAAAACTGGCTTGCTCTATATAGTAAATTACAGGACAACCAGGACTACTCAAAGAAACCCTGTCTTGAAATATCAAAACAAAAACATATACTCAGGGAGAAGCTAAGGTCTCTTGATCCCTGCCTGCAATGAATATTAACTGCCTGTAAATCATCAGGGAAGGTGCCAGGGCTCCATGCCCATCCCTCTGCATAAATACAAAAGGCCTCAATCTTGTGCAGGCCCCCTACAGGTCTTCATAGGTACTGGAATTTCAACACTGGCAATGGCATGCTCAAAGGACAGCATTCCAAAACATGTCACCCCTTCCTCTGGTGCTCCCTTTTCTAGAAATTTGCCAAGCCTAGGAGGAAGTAATAAGTCTCATCAGTAACTACTGCCAAAGCAAAAAGGAATTTTTCTTTTTAAAAAATGAGTGGAACAGTACTCCACAGGCATAAACATAGAACTTGAAACAGTCATTTCACAGAAATATACCCATTTAGCAAAATGCCAATAGCATTACCCTATGACTGTCAAGCCATAGGCTGTGGATAGGTTCCAAGAGATGTGAATTGACCCCTGCAGCACAAACCTACCCAACCAGAAAGCAGTCGGTCACTCTCATTAAGTCCTAGAGACTATATTACATTTATTTCTCTATTGTTCAGGGAAGATGCATGCCATAGCATGAATGAAGAAATCAGAAGACAACTTGAAGGGTTTATTTTTCTTTCCATCACATGGGTTCTGAGAGCTAACTCAAGTTGACAGCCTTGGCAACAAGCACCTTCGCCAGCTGGACCATCTCACCAGCCCTAGCAGGCACATCTTGCTTGACAATTTAGTAACACACAGGTCCAGAGCTGAGCAGTGCTGCACAGTAGCCTGCACCTACAGGTCCTATGAATGTTGGCCAGCAAAGAGGAAGCTTCCAGCTGTTGCAGTTCATTTTTTTCCACATTCAGCAACCAAAGCATGTGGTGTCTTCAGGAACACTCTTTAACACTAGTGCTAGAGACAACTAATAGCACTGGCAATAGCCAACACCATCTGGGGACTTCCGGGGTATCTATGGCCAACACCTCCTGGAAAAGTAGCCCACCCCTGACACTGCATCTTCACTAAAGAGCCTATGTTTGCCCGCATGCACAGGGTGCCTTCATTCAAGGTTCTCAACTATTCTTTTAATGTTTAATGTTAGCCACTCGCTATAAAGGTTTCCCCTCATTCACCTTGTTTTGGCTCACCTGTGTCTCACCCAACTATAATGTCCCAAGAATTTCCCATGTGCCTGCTCTGTGCACATGTGTACCTCCCTTCTGGTAGTCACTCTTCCATCTCACACGGATGCTTTTCTAACTCTGTGGAACACACAGAGGTTGTCGTTATGTCAGTGGTGAAGTGACACCTTTTTACACAGGGATCTCAGGATCACTGAAGCCACAATCCCTAACAAGTGCCAGCTGAACTCAGGAACTAGAAGGCAATAAATTAAGAAGACCCAACAGTATGAGGATCTATCATTTGTACCAAGTGTTTCCTCAATGCTAACCTGAGGACATAGCAAAGCTGAGAGTGCATACATGAAGCCTGGATTTGTCTCGAAGCAAAGGAAAAGAGATGGGGTGACTCAAACATGCAACCCCAGTATTTGGTAAGAGGAGGCATCAGGAGGTAAGAGGATCAGGAATTCCAAGATCATCCTCGACTATATAGTGAATTTGAGACCAGCATGGGCTACCTAAGAACTTGCCTCAAGAAAACAAAAAGTAAATCAAAACCAATATTGGATACAGTGGTGTAGATGGGAGGTCGAACCCTACCCTGTACCAACTAGTCATTCTTATTGAGCCATCTGCACCCTCACCTTGAGTGCAGCCTTGGTGGAGAAGGAGCTGGCTCTTGTTCTCTAATTGGTATAGGGGGCCACAGGGAAACCCAGACATGCTCACCTGCTGTATCCCCATGGACTCCCTGGGTCTTACAGCCTCTGGGCTCAAGCTGTAGCACATTGCTGCCTCTTCGGTGGACGTACATCCCTGGCTGCTGAGAGGGCCCTAGACTGAACAAACAAGTGACACACAAGCATCCTTTCCCCACCTCATCCTGGGGAAATGACTCCAGGGAAAGTGTAGACTTCTCAGCTGCACTACTTTATCAGATCTTCCTTCATTGATGTTTCTTTTCCCTCAAGTTCTACAGCCTCCCAAAGACAGAATATTTACTGACTATCACAACTTCCTCTACTGGGCTACTATTTAGACCTCTACTCACATGCTGTACTACCAATTTCCTATTCTTCTGTATTAAAGGTTAGGCCTAAGGGGAACATTATCACTCCTTCACTCCCTTTGAATGAAGCATCCTTACTGTTCAAGGCTTTACAGAGGCTTCAACTTTTAGGATCCCAGAGGGACTACTTAGAAGATATGACTTTAATTTGTTCCCCTTATGCCATCTCCAGTTGTAAGAAACTGGAAGCCAGCAACTGCAGCTCATTCATTCCCATCCTCCCTCCCATAATCCTTCCCTAGTCCTCCTGCCAATTTGGAAGCCAATACAGTGGACAGGATCTGCATGTTTTTTCCTCAAAGTAACTCCTCCACTAGAGGGACAAGTTAATGCTAGTAGGCAGCTAAGCCTTATTTGCATGTCTTAATAGCCAAAGCACGGGCTGTGCACCTGACTGCCTACTTAATCTTGTTCCACCTATACAAGGGGAGTGGGTTCATTTGTCACAGAAGTGGGCCACTTGATACTATGTAAGAGTTGCATGGCACAGACAATACAACTGGAACTGCACAACAAGGCACACTCTTCCATGGCATACTGGAAGTACTGCCGTTTCAGAATTAACACCGCAGATGGTCCACCCACAGAAAGCTTCCTTTCAGTGGCATATCTCATCACCCACAGCAGAGACAAGGCAAGTGCTCTCCTCAAACTCGTCTTTGGTTCTGTTGTTTCCCACATTTGGACACCAAGTGTTATGTGAACATTTCCTGACCACATGTTGAACAAGTGTCTATTCACCCCAGATAGGGCGCTGAGGATAGAAGGAAAGAAATGATTCCACCCAAGTGCAGCCTGGGGAGACACTGAATGTAATTAGACTTACTGAGCACTGGCAACTTACAGGGAGCCTACACTACTGATTAAAAACATATATCCATTTCCTGGCATCCAAAAACTTACCACATTCTTTACATGTATAATAAGGCTTTGTCCCATCATCAATCATTATACATCTTTGAAAGGGACTGTGAACTTGAAGGTGTCACAACTTTGTTTCCACTCACAGAACTGTTTGCAGTAGTCCATTCACAGAATCTATGGAAGCAATAGCATCTAAACATCATGGGTTTTTCCTCCAGTAAAATGTCTTTCATGTTACCAAAAGAGCCTGCATCATCCCCTGAAGGCTCCAGCACACTGCTGACACAACATTTTGCACTGTAAATTCTTTCATTTGCTTGAAGCAAATAGGAATAAAAGACTGACTACATTGTTTACATTCATAAGACATTTCCCCAGCATGAATTAACTGGTTTCTGTGAAAGAAGAGTGACCAGCAAAGAACTTAGCACACATTGCTTACACTTGTAGAAACTGCCCAGCATGAATTCCTTCAAGAATTTGAAGTCTAAACCATATCATTCATATGGACAAGACCTATCACATGACATCGTCAGTTCTTACATGTGAACAAGGATAAACATTGTTCACATTGATAGTGTTTTTCACCAATATGAGTTGCCTGATGTATTTGGAGGAAACATGGATAAAGGAATTAGATACTGCTGACATTCAAAGGGGTTTTCCACAGCATGAATAGATTTATGTCTCTGAAAGGAACTGTGACGGCTGAAGGCTTTCCCACATTGTTTGCATTCATAAGGTTTTTCTCCTGTGTGTGTTCTTTCATGTAATCGGAGGTAACTGTAACGTATAAAGGCTTTATCACATTGTTTACATTCATAGGGTTTCTCTCCACTATGAATTCTTCCATGCAATCGAAGGGAAGAATGATGTCTAAAGGCTTTACCACATTCTTTACATTTATAAGGTTTCTCTCCAGTATGAGTTATTTCATGTAATCGAAGGGAAGTATGACGAGTAAAGGCTTTACCACACTGTTGACATTCATAGGGCTTTTCTCCTGTATGAGTTCTTTCATGTAGTCGAAGGGAAGAGTGATGTCTAAAGGCTGTACCACATTGTTTACATTCATAGGGCTTTTCACCAGTATGAGTTCTTTCATGCATTTGAAGTAAAGAGGGATAAAGGAATGACTTACCACACTGCTTACATTTATATGGTCTTTCACTAGTGTGAGTTCTTTCATGCATTTGAAGTAAAGAAGGGTAAATGAAGAGCCTACTACATTGTTTACATTCATAGAATGTTTCTCCACCATGAATAATTTTATGTCTATGATAGGAAGTTTGACATCTGAAGGCTTTCCCACACTGTTTACATTCATAGGGTTTCTCTCCGGTGTGAGTCCTTTCATGTAATCGAAGGTAACTGTGACATGTAAAGGCTTTCCCACACTGCTGACACTCATAGGGTTTTTCACCAGTATGAATTCTTTCATGTAACTGAAGGGCACTGTGACATCTAAAGGCTTTCCCACACTGGTTACATTTATAAGGTCTTTCTCCTGTGTGAATTCTCTCATGTCTTTGAAGTGAAGTAGAAGAACTCAGAGCTTTCCCACACTGGTTACATTTATAGGGTCTTTCTCCTGTGTGAATTCTCTCATGCCTTTGAAGGGAACTGGAAGAACTCAGAACTTTCCCACACTGGTTACATTCGTAACATTTTCTTACAGTGTGAGTTCCTCCATGTGTATAAAGTGAACTATGATAAACAGAAGCCTTTCCACATTCCTTGTAGTCATAGAAGTTTTCTCCACTGTGAGTTTGGTGATATATTCCAAGTGTACTTGAAAAACCAAAGGATTTTAAACATACCTCACATTGACAAGGTTCATTCACAGTGTGAGCACCCATGTATCCTTGAATACTTGTGAGAGAACTGGAATCATATGGTGTGTTTCCATATTCCTCATGCTCATATGGAGTGTATTCAGAGTGAGATCTGATGTACCTATTAAAGGATGAAGGACACATGAACCTTTTCACAGACATGATATTCACAGAGCTGAACTTCAATGGGAAGCTTTCTGCTCATACTGAGGTTCAGAACAAGGGTTCAGGCTTTTGTCACCCTGACTATCCTCTTTACTTTCTAACATACAACTTCTGTGAAAAATGGCAAGCAGCTAGGCTTGGTGGTGCATGTCTTTAATCCCTCAAGAGGCACATGGGCCTCTGTGAGCTAGAGGCTAATCCGATCTACATAATGAGTTCCAAGCCAGCCAGAATTACATGGTGAGACCCTGTCTCAAAAACAGAAGATGCTGGGCAGTGGTAGTGTACTCAGGAGGCAGAGGCAGGTAGATCTCTGTGAGTTTGAGGCCAGCCTGGTCTACAGAGCCAGTTCTAGGATTGCACAGAGAGATCCTGTCTCAAAAAAAAAACAAAACAAAGACAACTGCTTATTATTAATATCTAGGTCAGACACTGCTTTCACTGTATTCTCTCTGCACCCTATCTGAATGGTGTGAAACTAAACAGACTGATGGTTCTAAAATATGCCTCCCACAGAGCTATAATTAAACAGTGACATTCATTGACACTGGGTCTAAGAAAATTATGTTGCGAACTGAGTAACATTCTTACACTGAGGTACATATTTTTCTAATGATAAATTAAAGGTTATTTCTTTTGATCATTGTTAAATTTATATGGCACATTAAAGTTTCTACAAGAGACATTTGCTTCCAGTTATACATGCAAATTACCTTTGATATCTTCCAAAATTTTTGCATTCATCTTCAATATTCTGTTCTTCCCATATATATCCTAAAATACAGTACCAAAATTTATGATAAATTATTAAAAATTAATGAAAACAAAGCTGGATATGGTGGCAAATACTTTACCCTTAACACTCAGAAGGCAGAGGCAGGTAGTCTTTGTGAGGTCAAGGCCAATCTCTAAATAGTGAGACTCTATTTTGGAAAAAAGATCAGAAACTTCTGAAAACCCAGAGCTGGAGATGAAGCTCCCTGGTAAAGAGTACTTACTGTTCTTGCAGGGACACAACTTTGGTTACCATTACCCACACTGGGCAGCTCATACAACCACCATAGGAATCTAAAGCTTCTGCTCCTGTACTCATACACACACAAATACCCCCAGCCCCCTTATACACATAATTTAAAATTAAAGAAAAAGAAGAGAAGACAGGCTGGAGATATGGCTCAGGTGTTAAGAGTGCTTACTGCTGCCAGGCAGTGGTAGTACACAAACGCCTTTAATCTCAGCACTCAGAGACAGAGACAGGCGAATCTCTCTAAATTCAAGGCCAGCCTGGTCTATAGAAGAAGTTCCAGGACAGCCAGGGCTGTTACACAGAGAAACCCTGTCTCAAAACAAACAAGCAAACAAAAAAGAGTGCTTGCTGCTCTTGGAGAGGAATGAGGTTTGGTTCCCAGCACCCATACGGCAGATAAAAATCACCTATAACTCCAGTTCCAGATAATCTAATGCCCTATTCTGGCCTCTATGGGCTCCTACACACATATGGTACACATATACTCACAAAGGTGCATACACACATAAAAGTGATAAAATTACTGAGGAAAAAAAAAATCACTGGAAAGTAATTTCTAGTCTCAATGCAATCATGTCTCCTTTTTCTTAAAACATAGCTCTATGATAGAGGATTTTTTTGTGTGTGTATGTGTGTATATGGTTTGTGGGTGTGTATGTCACAGAGCACACATACAGATGAGAGGGTAACTTTGGGGGCTGTTTGACCTTCCCCCCACATTGTTCCACCAGGCTTGCAGAGTGAGAACCTTTAACTTCCTGAGCCATCTCACCTGCACCCAAACCACAGAAGACCATTTCTAACAGGAAAACACTTGCTCTCTAACCAAGGGAAAGAAATACAAGTCTCACCTATCGCAGCGAAGTTCCTGAAGGTTTCCTGCATCACATCTCTGTACAGACTCTTTTGGGAAGGATCCAGCAAAGCCCACTCTTCCTGAGTGAAGTGCACAGCCACGTCCTCAAAGCTCACTAGATCCTAAAACATCCCACACACATATATAAAAGAACTGATGGGGGTTGGGGGATGGGGGGTGAGGGGGAAGATGGCTCAGTATTAGATGGCTCTTCCAGAGGACCACAGTTCAAGTCTCAAGACCCACATGGCAGCTCACAAGTGTCTTTAACTCCAGGATCTGATATCCTCAAAAAGACAAACATGCAGGCAAAACACCAATATACATAAAATAAAAATCAATTAATTTAAAAAAGAACTGACAGGACTGCAAATGTATGCTCAACTGATAAAATGTTCATGTATTTCTGCAGTCTCCACATATACATGTACTCCATGACTGAGGAGGCCTAATGCAAACACTGAACAACTGTGAGTAGGAACATCAAGGTTAACAACAGTCCTCTCGCTGTGTGGCCTGGGGATCAGGATATCCTGCAGCTCCACCCAATTCTCGTTCATAGAAAGTCCCACCACCTGTACCCAGAATAGAGCTGTCTGTCTTTAAACATCTATGTGTACAGAGTTTAAGCTTTGTTTGGTGAAGAGAACAAGATAATGGAGAGAGCTCATGAATGAACATAAAGAATGAGAAAATAATCATTCAGCATAATGCATTATAAAAATACTGTGGCAATTCAGAGCCATTTTCCTTCTAAGAGTGAATTCGTCTGCTACAAACTCAGAAAAACCTAGAGCCATCAGAAACATCCCCACCAAAGATAATGGACAATGTGTGCGAAGAGCTTCCACATGCTGTCACCACTTAAACAGGGAAATGAGCCCATCCTATGTGCTAACAGGAAAAGAAATCATTAAGATTCCTGAATGCAACTTACTCCAATTCAAATGTTAGGGTTGAAAAAGCTCCAAATCATGAGAATAGTCTTTCAGGCCTGGGTTGAAATCTAATAATATTCCAGCTTGGCTGATTCAGTCAAGGAACCATCCCTAGAAAAGCAGGCTCACCATAAACCACGCTAAAGAGACAGCTGTGTCATTAGTTCTTCAATAAGTCACTTTCTTTCACTTCCTAGAATCCCTGGTCTACTACAGTCATGTACTGTTGTTAAGTCTGCCCACTTTTCTCAGTTTTTCTCTTCTTTTTATCTCTTTTCCAAGCATACCTTAACTCTGCCCCACAACTTTTTTCTTAACTCCTTCTCTAAAGCTTCCCCCACCACCACATCGTTATTGTTAGCAATGCATCTACTTCCATGCCAGCAGCTTCAATGGCTTCCCACCTTCCCCTCCAGGCAGTTCACCCAGCCTGCACAGTTCTCTTTTAAACTATAATAAAATTGGCCTTGTGTTTCCACAGGTGCAGTCTCTGAAATTCTTTCATTAATAAGACAAAGAACCCAAAGGGTGACCAATTTCCCCTGTATCACAAATAAATAAGAAATATAAATACTACATGATCAATATTTGAAGAGGAAAAGACCAGTAGATCTCTGTGAGTTGGAGGCCAGCCTAGTCCACATAGGGAGTTCCAGGACAGCAAGGATAGAGTGAGAGCCTGCCTAAATAAATAAATAGGGGCTGGAGATATGGTTCAGTGCTTAAGAGTACTTGTTGCTCTTGCAAAGGACTCAGGTTCAGTTCCCAGGACCCACATGGCATCTCTCACCCATCTGTGATTCCAGTTCCAAAGATGCAGCACCTCTTCTTACTTACCTCTGCAGACAGGAAGCACACACGATGCACAAAAGTACATGTAGGCAAAACACTCATACAAAAAAAAAAAAAAAAGAATAGCAAGTAAATCTAAAGACTAAATAAATAAATAAATAAATAAATAAATAAATAGGTAGTAGTGACATACGCCTTTCACCACCCCAGCACTCGGGAAGCAGAGGCAGGTGGATCTCTCTGAGTTTAAGGCCAGCCTGGTCAGGTCTACTAAGAGAAACCTTTGTTTAAGCCTCCCCGCTCCCTGGCCCCAATCCTGCCAAAAAAGAGAATTAAGAATTAAGTGAAGGATGACCTATCTTTTAGGAGGCTAATGCCTTATCCATTAGGCAACTGAGGCTCTGGATGACCTATCTTTTTAGGAAAAAACTCAATGTAGCAGTTGTAGCTGCTTCGGGAAAGAGACAGAAAGATCACCTGATTCCAGAAATCTGGGCCAGACTATGTCAAACAGTGACATGTCCATGTCTGGGGAAAGAAGGCTGGCAGAGGTGCAGTAACACCAACATTCACTTCTTCCTAATTATACTTTTATAAAAATCCCATAACTCTCACAGAATTTTGTTTGTTTGTTTTTGTTTTTTGTAGTCAACCAAAATTTTTTTTCTAAGGTGACAAGGAATAAGGTGACGAGCACATGTCAGATATTGCCAACAATAGTGGGGGCTTATCTATGTTCCAGAATATAAAATCTATAAAGTTGACACAAAAGGCAAATTTTAAAACATACTCTCTCTTAGGAACTGAGGTCTTCAAAAGCACACAGGTATATCATGGCATGTTGAAAGACACTTTCAGAAAACATCTGAGAAGGCTCTCATCTTGAGCCCTGACTTCTCTCTAGGCTGGATTCAGCAGGACAAAGGCTAGCTCTCTTAAAAGAAGGTCCCCAACTCAGCCATCCATAATCCTCTCACAGGAAGTCTTTTTCAGCCTTGATTTTTAACTTTTGACATTCAAAGACTGTAAATATATATATAAAGTATACTCTGGAGGCAGACTGCCAACATAGAGGTAGAAGAATTTTGGTAACAAATAATTTGGTAACATTAACAAATGGCAAACTGAGCCCTCAACAAAGTGATAGCAAACCCTGGAAAACACAGAAATTTCTAGCAGGAGGGAACAGTCTTAGTGACAAGGTCTCACTTTGTAGCAATAGCTGGGCTGATCATGCTGGCCTCTACCTGCCTCTGCCTCCCCAGTGCTATGTGCTACCATAACTAGTCTCAAATGCTAAGACTGTGTGTGTGTTTGTGTTTGTGTGTATGTGTGGTTTTGTTTTGAGAATTTTATTTTTAGCTAACTAGTGATATAGTTAGAAGTTGTCATAAAATTTTTTTCAAGATTTTATTTTATTTTTACTCAAGTGTATGTTTAAGTGTTATGTACATATCACATGTGTTCCAGATGTCCATGGAAGTCAGAAGATCCTTTAGTGCTAGTTACTAAAAACCGAGCCACCACACCCAGCTTTATTCTTAACTCTAAAAGAGCAGCACATGCTTTTAAACACTGACCCATCTAACCAGCCTCAAATTTTCACTTTTTTGTTGTCACCTCGCACCCCCCTCCCCCAAAATAGGGTCTCACTGTATAGGCCAGGCTGTCCTGGAACTCACTCTGTAGACCAGGCTGGCCTCAAATTCACAGAGATCCACCTGCCTCTGCCTCCCGAGTGCTAGGATTAAAGTCATATGCCACCACTGCCCAGCTTATTTTTAATTTCTAAAAATTTCATTTCATCTAAGTTACTAAATTTTTGACCATGGGATTGCAACATTTGTCCTTTATGTGTGATATATCCCCCCCCCCATCCTTCAATAGGCTCATGTGTGAACATTTCTCCACCAGCTGGTGGTGCTGTTTTGCAAGGTTATGATGACTTTAGCATTCAGGAGGCAGAGGCAGAGGCAACCTGATCTACATAATGAGTTACAAGACAACCAGGGCTACAGAGAGAAACTCTGGTTCAAAAAACAACAACAACAAAGGAAATATATCAAGAGACACACAAAGACTGATAATAGTCTGAATATCAAAAAAAATAAAAACTGAAACTCTAAAAGAAAAGAATTACAAACAAATGCTGGGCGTGGTGGCACACACCTTGAGTCCCAGCACTCAGGAGGCAGAGGATCTCTATGAGTTCAAGGATAGCCTGGTCTACGTAGTGAAATCCTGTCTTAAAATAAACAAACAAAAATAAATAAAACATTTCCTAATTTAAAACTATGACAATATTATCCTACACAAAAACAGTAAGTTGGAGAAAAAAAAAAAAACAAATTCTCAAAACCATTAGAAAATGGCACAGCAGCCCACATCTGCAATCTCAGAACTGGATTCAGGAGTATGAGGCAGTGATAATGCCATGACCTACAGACCAGCATGGGGCACAAAATGACACATGTGTTAGTGTTTAAAACTGAAGCTGTGAGGGCTGGCAAGGCGGCTCGGCAGTTAAGAGCATTAGTTCTTAAAAAGAAGCCGACTGATCCCCAGCACCTACACCAGGGAGCTCACAACAACCTATAGCCCCAGCCCCAGGGTGTCTGACACCCCTCTAACCTCTATAGACAAATACACATAAATAAATAATATTAAAAAATTTGTAACTGAAGCTGAGTTGAGTAAACCTCAAATGCTAAGCCATAGGCTTGAATGTATAAAAGCCTGGACTCAACTCCCAGACCCCTCCCAAAAATCCTAATTTAATGTATTACACCATCAACAAGGGAAATAGGAAAAATATGATTATGCCAATAATTGGGAATATATATGACAGGAGGAGGTGGGGATGGTACAGAAGAGCACTTGCTGCTCTTGCAGAGAGCATCCAGATAGCCTCTTACAACCAACAGTAACTCCGGGTTCATGGGGGCCAGCACATCCTTCTGGTCTCCACAGGCACCAGGTATACACACTTACATGCAGGCAAAATATTCATATACATGAAATAAATCTTTTAAAAAGAAATTAGCCCTTTTAAAAGTGCATGGTTTGAGGGTCAAGAATAGTGTGTCAGCGCCTTTAATCCCAGTATCTGGGAGGCAGGGGTAGCAGATCTCTGAGAGTTTGAGGACGAAGACAGCCTGGTCTACAGAGTGAGGTCCAGGACAGCCAGGGCTACATAAAAGAGAAAGTATCTTTAAAATGGGGGAGGGGTGGCGTAGAAGAACAGGGATAATGTCAGATACCTTTAATCCCAGCACTACAGAGGCAGAGACAGGCAGATCTCTGAGTTTGAAGCTAGCCTCATCTACATAGCAAGTTCCAGGCCACTCAAACCTACATAACAAGACCTTGCCTCAAAGAAAAAGACACTCTGCCACCCCTAAAAAAAAAAAAAGAATATTTTTTCTTTTTTGGTATTTTGAGACAGGGTCTCTCTGTGTAGCCCTGGCTGTCCTGGCACTCACTCTGTAGACCAGGCTGCCTCAAACTCGGGATCTGCCTGCCTCTGCCTCCCAAGTGCTGGGATTAAGGTGTGAACCACCAGCAGCCATCTTGAGATGGGTTTCTTTTAAAAAGCACACACACACACACACATACACACAGACACACACTCCCGCACATGTGCATAAGCAAAAAAAAAAGGATAGCATTGAAAAGAAGAGACTGTCTTTTTTCACGATAAATTCTAAGAATCAACATAAACTCACAGAACTATATGGCTAAAACATCAAATGTTGAAAAATGAGTATAAGGCCCAGTGTCCTTATATATATGTATATATATAAAATATATATATAAAGTCCTTTAGACAAAACTACTTTATTCTTAAAAAGATTTTTTTTTAAACCATCAAAAAGTTTTAAGAACAAAAAAAGTACAAGTTCAGACATATACCAAGAGAGACACTGGGCTTCTCTGAGTGAAATAACACTTCTACTTTATTTTCAGACTTATTATGTTATGTACATCAGTGTTCTGCCTGCATATAAATGGGTGCCTGGCACCTGTGGATCCAGAGGAGGCCTGGATCCCAAGACTAGTTACAGAAGGCTGTGAGCTGCCATGTGGGTGCTGGGAATTGAACCTATGAAAGAGCAACAAGTGCTCTTAACTGCTAAACTAACTCTCCAGCCCCTCAAGAGGCCAGGAGAGGGCACTGGATACTCTGGGACTGGAGTTACAAGTGGTTGTGAGCGACCTGAGGTGGATCCTTTATAAGAGCAGCACTGTCTGAGATAAGCAGCCATCATCCCAGGCCATCCACCCCTCATCTCTTTGAGACAGGGTCTCACTATGTAGCCCTGGATAACCTGGAACTCCCTAGCTATGTAAACCAAGCCTGCCTCTTCCTTCCAAGTGCTGGAATTAAAAGTGTACCAATACCCAAAGCTACATAGAGAAACTCAAACTCAAAAAACAATAAACAAAAAAAAAAAAAAAAAAAAAAAAAAAAACAAACAATCCATCCAGGACTATAGGTTTTGAACCAAAAAAAAAAAAAAAAAAAAAAATCCATATAGTCCATGTTTATGAGCAGGAAGCTTCAGTATTAAAATGTCAGGTGTCCTCAATCTGCACTATAAATTCAACAATGGCAATAAAAATCCTAACAATTTACTAAAAACAAAACAAAAAAACTAATAAATTGGTTATCAAGGTTATCAAGTATATATGGAGGGAAAATAACTCAAAATGGTCCACACAATTCCGATGCATCAGAACACAGATCCACAGTTTAAGACTACCAATAATACTACAATAATCAAGATAGGATAGTATTTGGGAAAGAATAAACAAATCAACAAAATAGAAAACCCAGAAATAAAATCATACACACACACACACACACAAATAGAACTTTCTTTTGACAAAAAAAGCAAAGAAATTCAACTACCGATAAAATGTTATTGGCAGAACCAATGTGTTGATAGACAAAGAAATGAATAGAATAAACGCTTTAAATTTCACAGCGTTGGGGCAGGAGTGATGACTCAGCAGTTGAAAGCTTCTCTTCCAGAGGACCCGGGTTCAATTCCCAACACCTTCACGGAAGCTCACAATTGTCTAGACACACACAGACAAAACACCAGTGCACATAAAATAAAAGTAATTTTTAAAAAGTTTAAAATTTCACAGTAGTAACTCAAGTTGAACGCTTGACCTAAATGTTAAATGTAAAATTCAGAACTCCTAGAAAGTAACAGGAACTGGAGGACGTGAAGTTTTACTGCCTTCTGATGAGACACCCAAAGCAGGACCTACGCGCCAGCACCACCCAGTACAGCGACAGTCCCCGGTGCAAGGCGGGGCCTCCCGCTGCTATGCTCGGCGCACTGCGCAGACGCGGGACTCGGGGGCCGAGGACAGAGGGCCCGGCATCACAAAACACAGGACAGCGCTGCCGGCCCGCCCGAGCCCCGCGGTGAATCGGGCACAGCCGGCAGGGACGGCAGCCCTCGCACGCTCACCATGGCGTGGCTTCCGGAGACGCCGCGATCTCCTCACAGCTGATAGCGACGGGGCAGCACAATACACCTCCCTCGGCCCCGGCGCCAAGCCCACAGTATGGCGGCCGAAAGGAGCCCGCCTATCGCCGCCCATCGGCTCTCCTGATTAGACGGAGCGCTCCCAGATCTTGATTGGCTAGCAAAGCTTGAGCGACAACTGCTTCCAAAGGCCGAGATGTGGAACTCAAAAGGCAACCACAGCTCGCCCTCCTAAGTCAGGCCTCCATTCAACCCCAACTCCCCAGCCCCCAGCCCCACAACCCTAACCCCAACAACCGCAACCCCAACCCTGCTGTCCTGATAGCACTTCCAATACTTCCTCCTGGACACCGAGTCGCCACTATGCACACTAAGCGTTCATTGCAGTAACCCTGCTGCCTCACAAGTAGAAAGACGCCCAGGAACAGGGGTCTTCAGGGGTCAGAACATCTCCCGTTGTTCATCTTTCTCGGGTATACATTACCACAAGTATTTTCATAGCACACTTATGCTCCTGCCAGGCATTGATGGTGGTGCACGCCTTTAATACCAGCACTTGGGAGGCAGAGGCAGGTGGATCTCTATGACTTCGAGGTTAGCCTGGAGCAGTGGAAGAACAAGGATGGATGGGGGTATATCTCTATTTCTGTGATAGACTCTTCTATCGAAAAGCAACTTAGGAAAAGAATTGTTTATTTTTGTTTAAAGTTCCAGAAGATGGGGAAGACATGGTGGAAGGAATGTGAGGCCAATCTGCCTTAGGATTTCTGTTGCTTTGATAAAGCACCAGGGCCGAAAGCAGCTTCTGGGAGGGAAGTGTTCATTTGGCTTACATCTCATATTACTGAGGGAAGCAAGGCAGGAATATGGAGGCAGGAACCACGCAGCAGTGCTGCTCATGCACTAGCTTGATTCCCCTAGTTTGTTCATTTTACTTTGTCACCTAGTGACAACCTGTCCAGTGGTGGCATTGCTCCCCCCCACCCCCGGGCCTGGGAAATCTCACATCTATCATTAAGAAAATGCCCCCACAGGCTTGCCAATAGGCCAATCTTTGTTTGTTTGCTTGTTTGAGACAGGGTTCCTCTGTGTAACTTTGGAGCCTGTCCTAGAACTCACTTTGTAGACCAGGCTGACCTTGAACTCACAAAGATGTCTCTGCTGGAATTAAAGGCATGTGCCACCACTGGCCAAACATTCTAATTTTTAAATTCCCACAGTCTTTAAAAATTCAAACAGTCTAGAAACCAATCTGTTTGGCCCAGGAGTCAAGAGCACTAACTGCTATCCCAGAGGACACAGATTTGATTCTCTGAATCCACATGACAACTCACAACCATCTGTCACTTCTGTTCCAAGGACTCCGAAACCCTCTCTTCTGACTTCTATAGGCACCAGGCACACACATGATGTATAGATGTATACATGTAGGCAAAACAGTAATACACATAAAATAAAAATAAAATTTAAATTTAAAAGTTCAGCTGTGAGGGCTGGAGGGATGGCTCAGCAGTTGGGAGCACTGGCTGCTCTTCAAAAGATCCAGGTTCAGTTCCAAGCACCACATGGCAGCTCACAATTGTTAATTGTTAACTCCAGTTCCCAAGGATCCAACACCCTCATACCAGTATACATAAAAGAAATTTTTAGAACTTTAATTTTTTAAATTAAGCCTCTTTAAAATACCTAATGTCAATATGTAAAATAAGAAAAATAAATTAAAAAAATAAAATAAAATAATACCTATTGTCTCTTTAAAAGATAAAGTCTCTTTAAAATATCCAAGGTCTCATAATTGTGGGCGTCTGTAAAATTAAAAAAAAAAAAAAAGCTTACTTCAAGAGGTAAGACCAGGACACAGTTACAAGCCTAATAAAGTCAAACCAAAATTAAACAATGCAAAAACTCCAATGCTTAATATCTGAAACTCAGTGTTTTGGGCTCCAAAGGGCCTCAGCAACTTATCTGACTCTGCCACACACGGCACATGTTGCTTGCCTCCTAGACTCAGGCCAGCTCTACTCTACACCTGATGCTGTCATTAGTGATTATTTATTCTATGGTAGCTCTAACATGTAGCTGAAGGCTTTTATGTGTCCTACCCAGTCCTGCAGCCACATAAAATAATCACTCAGAGGCTTATTAATTATAATTGTGTGGCTCTATTGCTCAGGCTTATTATTAACTAGCTCTTACAACTTAAGTTAACCCATTTCTACTATTCTATATATCACAATATGGCCGTGGATTACTGATAATAGTGATGTTCATACTTCTTTCTCCTTTGGAAGCTGGATGGCATCTCCCAGACTCTGCCCTTCTTTACCTGTATTTGTTATGGAAAGAAATTTGTATGGTAAAATAAAATTTTGTTCTATGTTCAAAATAGTGTATATAATTTATTTATTGTTTATTTTAAGTATGTGAATGTTTTGACTCCATGTTTGTATTGCACCATATGCATGTCTAGTACCTAAGGAGCCTAGAAGAGGGTGTCAGATTTCCTGTAACTGGAGTTATACATGTTTGTAAGCTGCCACATGGGTTCTGGAAATACACCTGAGTCCTAAGCAAGAGCATCTATAATTCCAGCCCCAGGTGTCTCAATAATCTCTTCTGTTGTGGAATATTAACTGTGCAAAGATGTGTTACATTTGTTTATTGATGCTGCATTTTTTTTAATGATGTAACTAGTGGGGGATGTCCTTCTATACATGTTTCTCTTATTGGTTGATGAATAAAACAGTATTTTATGCATCACCCAAATGGGCGTGGTCAGTGCAACAGGTGAGGGTAGAGTAAATATCTCAATACAGAAAAGCCTGGGGCCAGCCAGCCAGATGTGGAAAAGTAGGATATGCAGAAAGAAAAGGTAAAAAGTCCCAGGCGATGGGGATTGGTGAGTCACACCTTTAATCCCAGCATCAGGAAGGCAGAGGCAGGTGAATTTCTGTGAGTTTGAGGTCTACAGAGTGAGTGCCAGGATAGGCTCCAAAACTACACAGGGGAACCCTGTCTCAAAAAAAAAAAAAAAATCCTGAGGCAAAAAGTAGATAAAGAGAAACAGGTGTTGTGCAATGTTTTGATTGTGTTATTGTGTTCTGACAAATAACGCTTCCCAGTCACTAGCTGACCAAAATTAACCACAGAGGTTTGGATGATTGTAGTCAGGAAAGAGACAGGAAATGGTAAGGCGGGGCTGAAAGAGGATCTGGGCCATTTTGGATGGAGGAATGGTAGAGTTAGGAAGGAGCTGGTGGCTGCTCCCTGCTTCTCTGATCTTTCAGGCTCTTACTCCAATATCTGACTTCCAATTTTTTATTGATAAAGATTAATTAAATTAACACTTTAAACAGATTAATTTAAGCTAAAAGATCTAGCCAGAAATGAGCCTAAGCTAAGCCAATCATTCATAACTAATAATAAGTCTCCATGTTATGATTTGGGAGCTAGTTGGTGGCCCAAAACAAAAAGCCTGGTACACTCTTCTGACTTCCATGGGCACTAGGTATGCACATGGTGCTAAGACATATAAGGAAAAAAAGAAAAAGGAAAGATAAGGAGAAAGCCTGAAGGATTTGGTCAGAGAGATAACTCAAAATATAAGAACTTGATGCAGTCAGTCAAATTTATCCCTGAAAGCTAAATTTGATCCCTGTGACTCACATCTGTAATCCCAGAATCCTACAGAGTGTTGGGATGCAGCAATAGGATAATCACCTGGAAGCTCCTGAACCAGTTAGCCTGGAATATTTAGAGTACAAAAACAAGGGAGATCCTTCCTAAACAAGGTAGAAGGAGAAAACTAGTTCTCTAAGATTGTCCCAACATCCTTACTACCCACATGCACATGGCACAAACACACGTACACAAAATAAATAATATAATTTTAAATCTTTTCTAAAACAGATTTGTTTTTTGTATTTAATGTGTATGAGTATTTTGCTCTCATGTATGTCTGTGCATCACATGTATCCTTAGTACCTGTAGAGGTCAGAGGGGGCATTGGATCCCATGGAACTGGAGTTACAGATGGTTTTGAGTTACTGTGTGGGTGCTGTGAAGTAAAGTCAGGTCCTCTGTGGCAGTAGCAAGAGCTCCTAACTGCTAAGCAATATCTCCAGCTCATAAAACAATATTTTAGGTTAAAAAAGGAGGAAAAGTCCTCCATTACTGGTACCTGCTCCTACTATATAAGAGCTCTTTCTGTCTTTTTTTGTTTCTCTTAAGAGTCTACCCATAATCTTATAATAAATCCCTTTTAATAAATCCCTTTCCTAAACTCAAAAAAGGGGGGAGGAGAACCCTACTGCAGAGTAATAAGAAAAATATTTAACCTTGCATTTTAGGGATGAATACATTACTAGTGTGTGTATTCCACCCCATTCCTTTGAGAGTGGCTCTCTCACTGAATCTGGAGCCAGAAATGCCATCCAGCATCAGTGATCCCACTGGCTCTGCCTCTCACACCACTGGGGTCACATGTGCTTGTTCAGCTGCATCTGGCTTTTCATTATTATATGTTTACTACATTCAAAGTTATTTTGTGGGGAAAGGGATAACTTGCATACTACTGTATGTGTACTGGAATTTAAACTCAGGTTTTCATGCATATGAAGCAAGTGTCACTGTGCTACCACCCCTAGATTTTCTTTCCATTTCCTCACAGAAAAAGCAGTTGTTCAGTAGCTCACCTGTTCTTCAGGAGAGCAGATGCCTTCTATATCCAGAATTGCAATTACAAAATTGATATACAAACATGCTTGGCTCTTTGTGTATTTCCTCTCCTGCCTTTTCTGGGTAAGTTCATTTTCCAGAATCATTTGTTCTCTTGGCCAGTAATGCCGAAATGGAACACTATGTACCTCTCAAAGGCTTCTAAAACTAAGGAGTTAAAGTGTTTAAAGGAGACTCTTTAAGGCTGGAGACAACTCAGCTTCTAAGAGCCTGTTCTGCTCTTGCAGAGGGTCTGAGCTAGGCTCACAGCATGGATGAAGTCACAGCATAGAGCTGTAACTTCAGCTCTGATGGTGGATGCCC